ACACAGCGCAACGCCGCGCCGGCACCCGACAACTCGTCGTTGAATCAAAGGTGGTGGGAGAACGTTCTCCAAGGAAAACACCCTGCAAGAGAGGAGATGATGCCCTCGATACAACAGCACGGATACAACAATTTTTTCAATATCTTTTGATTTTTCACATCTCGGATCTTTCTCTTTGAAAATTATTGATTAATTTTGTCTCTCGCATTACAGGAATTCTAATTGCAATATTTTACTCTAATGTTTTAAATCTGAATGTAAGGTTTTTTTCTTTAGAAATTACTGTGGGTTTTATAAATTTTTTATTCCGTAACTTCAATGTCATATTTCAATCACTTTCTCTTCTCAAAGTCGTGCTCCAGTTTTCTTTTTTCAAGTATTTTTTATCGATCTCTTTCTTTCCTCCAAAACGTGCTCGAAGTGTTCATTTTTTCAAATACTTTTTGTCGATTACTTTATTCTCTACAGATTAACTTTTATTTAACTTTCTCCTCCTAAAGAAATTTTCTTTCATTATTGAAATTATTCTTTTTGTTGACGATATTTTTCAATGATAGATTATAACCATTACATGATTGATATCTTTCACAAAATTTGTTTCCCTTCTATTTCTTCGAAGGTTAAATTCTCGGAATTAATGAAGCGGAGTTAATTTCTCTCGGCAAAAAGAAACGGCAATTGACATCCATAAAGTCAACGACAATGTTTTCTCTTGAAATGCGCACGTGCGGAATGACTCACGTGTGCGAACAATACGATGAACGTTCTATCTAGTGTCTCTTGTTTTTGTCACGTTTTGTCACGTCCATGGATATAATATGGCACTTCTGTTCAAGGTGCTCGGGTTCTTGAACCCATCACTTGTGTCAGCGGATCAATTGAATGATTGTGAATCTATCTCGTTGAGAAATGCACAAAAATTTTCACAACGTACTTAACGTTTCCTCATCTTGTTTTGGCTGCTTTCAATTTGTATTTAAATGATAGAATACTGATGACAATTCATCGCGAACACTATTAGATTTTTAAAATTCAGTAAATCTTTCCACAAGAAAATTCGAGAAAAAAACTGAGACACTCGAAGAAACTTAGGAAAACAAATATATAAAAAGAAGAACGTTTGTGAAGAACGTTCAATGTGAAGAACTCAAAGTCATACTGTCATCCAAAACGAATGGTGACGTTTCGATCTTAGCAACATGTAAAAAAA